ACAAAGACTCGGATAGATGACCAGTCGAGAGACACCCTTTGAATCGTCCCGGGGCTTCGGTTCCGGAAGACGCGAGACGGTGATGTCGACCACGGACCAGAAGCTGGCCCCATGGCAATGACAACACCGACACGACGTTCCGGCGACAACGGTTAGGTCCTTCGTTGATGGAATTCAAACCCCATCCAGTCCAAGATATGTCTGTTCATGCTCTCGACTAGGGGGAAACGTCACCCTTGCCGAATCACCAACCATCTCAGCCCACACCCAATCTCACCACCACCATCACACACCGAAAACACAGTCATGCGGATCCTTTGTTCTAGCGCCATTCTAGAAGGCCGCTAACGGTCTTGGCTTTCTACTTTCCTTCGCCCAGCTGGGCGCTACACAGCCCCGCCAGGACTCGAGTGCGTCCTATCAGGCTGTCAGTAGTCATCGTAACACAGGTTCTTGGTCTCTCTTGACTCTCTCCCTCTTCGCCCCCTGCCTCTGCCTCTAGGTGTCTTTTCTTTATTGCTCCACCTGCACCTGTCATCCGGACATAACGAACAAGGGCGTGGGTTCTTGCTCGAGGCAGGCGGCTCCGTTGTGATTTGGTTCGTCGAGAGAGGTCGTCCCTGGTGGTTGACTGGTTCAAGAGGTACGAAATACTGTGTAGATGACGGTTCGCCGCAAAAGAAAAATGAGGGGGAAGGCGGCATCGAAATGGGTTGAGATCAGCGTCTCTTGTCTCATTCTCTGCGCTGCCGCTTACCCCGGTTGGTCCTTGGATCAAGACGCTTGAAGTCGAGCCGTCGTGCATCTCCCTCAATGGGAATCAGGCTCCCGAGGATCCGATTTGTTCTAGAAGGGTTGGTGAAGTTTGACAAGGTTGTGGACCATAGTAACGAGTGTTATTGTAAACAACCAGCTTCCTCTCAAGTACCTGTTCGAGAGCAACTTCTTCGCAGCTAGTGCTGCGAGCGATGGAAACTCAGACATCCTTCCAGGCTAGCTTCCTAGAGTCAGGCTGAGGCTGATTGGATTCTCATCCAGGAATGTAACCCGCCATCACCATTACCATTACCATGATCAAATGGCCCCTCAAGACCCCATGCAGGAGTTACTTCACCGTTGCTCCAAAACGGCCTCAGTCCTGAGCCCTGCGCCCGCGCTAATGCGAAAGAAGGCGCAAGAGAACAACCACTTACACACACGCACTCCCACATATCCCTACACATACGCACTCGTAGAATTCCACTAGAACGTTCAGCGAACGAACTAGTCGCCACTCGTCAGACAGCGCCATTCCCCTCCTCCATTAGTCTCGTGTTGGCGCTCTCTCAGAGGCTCGCAACCTGACCTGGCCATGCTTGACTTGGTCTCCTCCTCGTGGCCTTCTTTGATGGGGTGACGGGTTGTCTTGACTTGGCAAGACAGAGGGCTGGTATACAAATGTCGAGTCGCTGCTCTTCCGTGCCTAGCCTTGGCGCATTTCTTTTTTCCCTTTGCCATTCGGATCCTGTCATACGTTCCCGCCCGCCAATACGTACTTCACATCGCGATTGAGTCGGCATTAACTACATAACGACCACCCCCCATCTCGCACTTCGCCCACCCTTCTATCAAATTAACCTCGTTCCGTCTACCCATTCCTTCTTAAATTGAGGACGAATACACCGACTACGCCTTTAACAATCTTGGACACGCCGTCAAAAGCTTCATGCAAGGATAGATTCCATTATCAGTCTCACAGCGACTGAACCGTGAGCACAACATGTATCCCACCAAGAGCCCGTCAAACATGTCACCAGAAGACGTTCGAACTCTATGCGACCTCGCCGGCCGGTACGGGTCCGGAAGCTTAGAAACAACCCTCCGGAACATTAGCGGCAGCAACTACACATCCCTCCGCCCTCCGCCCCAGCACCACCACCGAAACCCTCACCACATGGACGCCCCGGCGAGGAACTCAGCCCTCTCCACCTCAACCTTTGGCAGCAACAACAGCGCGCCATCCCTCACAAACAGCGCCAGCCCCTGGAGCAGCTCCGACGCGTCCTTGTGCGGCTCAGAGGCTGCCTCCCTATCGGGGAGCTATTTCAGCCAGCAGCCCGGCGGCACTGCGGCAGCCGCCTCCTGGGCCGACGCCGTGGACGCTCCGTTCCTGATGTCGCCCTCCGTGACAACATCCCTCTCCGGCTCCGAGTGGCAGGATCACCACATCAGCGAGCACCTCTCCTCAACTCCATCACGCGAGAAAAAGGCCGCTGCCAGCATGAGGTCTCCGTCCTCGGGTACCGTCGGCGGCCGCAAGCCCATCGAGTGTCCCATGTGCGCCGTCCACGACGTCTACGTCGGCTTCGGCAGGAAAAGCGACTTCAAGAAGCACCTCCAAAACTTCCACAACACCGACTGCATCTGGGTCTGCCCGCAGGACAACTGCCGCATGATCTTTGACTTTGAAAAGGCCTACATCGCCCACGTCAAGCTCGACCACCACCAGGGCGAGGCGGCATACCCTCCCGCCGCGGCGGTAGCGGCAGCAGAACAGGTCAAGGTCGGCCTCTGCGCGCAGGTCGTCTTCGCCTGCGGCTTCATCGGCTGCAAAGAGGTCTACGAGGCCGCCGACGACAGCGAGGCGCCCAAGACGGCCGACGCCTACTTTGACCACCTCGCCAGTCACTTTGACAAGCGCAGCAGCACCATTAATAGCACCAGTGGTTGCAATAACAACAATCTCGGCCTCTCGTCAGAGTGGACATACTATCATCAGATGCAAAACCTCCTCCGTCAGCGCTCCCTCAAAGACGAGTGGAAGCACACCCTCTGGGACAAGGCCGCACGCAACCAACTCCGCTGGCAGCCCCGCTCCTCAGGCGACCTCAAGAAGCTCCTCGAGTGCCGCCACCTCGCCGACGTGCCGCGCATCCTCCACGCGGCATGGACGCTCGGCCAAACGTGCTTCTCCTCCCCCGAGCACCCGGCCCCCGAGTTCCCAGGCGAAGCAACGCGGCCCGTCCGGTCCCGCTGCCCGCTCGCAGGCGAAGGCAGGAACCACGGCGAGCTCCGCGATGTTGTCTGCGGAGGTCAGCAGCAGCATGAAGAGCAATCGCCGTCGGCGATGACTATGTTTGCCCTCCGCCGCAGCCTCTTCCCCGTCAAGCTCGCCACCGTCTCGCATCCGCCGCCGCGCTCGATTCCCGAGGAGCCGGATTCCCTGGCCTACCCGCACCCAGGTACCCCCCTCGTCATCCCCGAGCGCGACGCCTGGTCTACGGACGTTGTGCTTGGCCCGCCCGAGGACGAGCAGATCTTCGACCCCATATTCATGCCGGGTAACAGGGCGACGACAAATATGCTGCAGCAGAGCCCCATCTACCCTTGGACCGATACTACTACGTCTCAACAGCAGCAGCAAAGGCGGTCTTTCGGCGACTTTGCGCGCCATCTCACACCCTCGCCACAACCTACCGAAGACCAGGACAGCAGCCTCGGTCCGTTGCTCCAGGTCCCTCAATCCGCATCTGCCACCACCACCGCCGCGAAACGTCCCCGCTCTTGGGGCATGAGGAGCCTGGAGAACCTGCGCCTCAAGCGTCGTGGCCGTTCGTCGCCTGTCACGTCACCCGTTGAGGAGAAGGCGGCTTTAGCTGGGTGGATCTGAGACAGCCAAACTCCCTTGCCTCTGCACCATTTCCCCCTCTTCTATCTTCTTTGTTCATACAAACCATTTTAGACCTGTATCACCTAACGCTTTACATGACATGAATGCATGGGTGGTGGCGCAGCTTCATAGACATGTTTCCTTTTGCATTTTCTTTGTTAGTTTTGGGGTCGGGGTCGAAAACTATAGACTACAAGATACCCCCAATGAGCCTTCTTCGCTATAGGTACTGGGTTGGATATGTCGGGGTCGCCGAAGACGCTAGGGAGGCGAGGGAAGTGGCTACCCACTGGCATTGCTTTGTTGATATCCGAAGGCGGCTCTGACTGGATGATGATTATGATGACGTCTGGGCGTTCCCTGATGGAAATACCATTTAGACAATTCAAACTGGAGTTATCTTTCTTCCTCCTATTTCCCACTGCTCATATCTTTACTCATTGATGTTCCAAGGTGAGTAGCAGCTAGATGCACTTCCTGTTCCCTTCAATGCCCAATCATGGTTGCGTCGCACTTCACATTGTATCTGTCAACAAGAGAATAGAAGACACAAGGAGCGCGAAATAATCCCTATTCTCCTATTATCAACGAGTGGCCGCCTTCAACTTCGTTGGATCCACAGGTGCAGATTCCTGAGGAGTTGAGCTAGGTAGGCCGTACTTCGAGGTGGCTACTTGCGCCGATAGAGACACCCTTGAAAGGGATTATGGTTCTTGGCAAGCTGTCTCAGGCCGAAGGTAAGGTACGTCGGGTAAGGTCTCCTGACAATAGAATTAACATACAGGCATATCATATTCACCCTTGCCCATATCTACTTCCGTCAGTTCAAAGCTTGATTCGCTTGAAGATCGGAAAGGAGGAGGGAAAAGAATAGGGAGTGGAACAACCATGAATGTCATCAATGAAATCACAGGTACGCAACGTAGTCTGGCTCTTCTGTGCAGGTAGTTTCCAACAAGACGAACAACAGACTACCACACGATTAAAGAATCTTTGCCTCGAAATTGTCTTATGCGGACACCATGTCAGACACACTACTTTGCCAGATAAGTAAGGTAGTGTTTGTTAATTGGTGGCTGGCAAAAGCCACACCATCAGAGCCTACCTAAGCGCCCAAGCGAAGAAGTTTTTACCACAAGGTACTGGGGAGCTTCGGGAGTAATTACTTTGCCCGATTGGTTGGGCGTGAGACGGGCAAGATGTCGGTCGGCTAGGATACGTGGCTGCCTTATCGTATAATAGAATACTGTCGTATGACAGGGCTTTCGCGAAGAGACGTACAATTCCCCCCTCTTTCTCAACTTTTGCCAATCTGTGCCTTCAAAATCTCCATATTCTTCATTAATCGATCATGGCCATAGTCAAATTGATCAAAGATTTGGCGTCCGTGATTGCATTCGCATTGGGCTTTCTAGTAAGCCTCTTACGACCACAATCATTTTTAAACCGAATAACTAGGGCTGCAAAGACAGCGGAATCCTACTATACCGATCTCTGGATTCGCTTATACGAGCCTGGCCGGTTTATTGGAATATGGGACGATGTTGGCGCGTCATTCAGTCAGACCGATGCCTGGGAGCCATTCTCCCTCCGGAACACTGTCAAGGCCAACGATGACAACAATGCCCGATTAGAGTCATTAATGAGTGCACTTCCACCCCAGGCGGATGGAGTGGCTCGAGTATTTCTCCAGGAGCTTTTTGACGATGACGTTCGCGACAATGACTCCGCATCCGGAATGGACTTCCCGTACAAGTTCCCTCCTCTTAGGATCGCTACTGTGGGCTTCTTGTCGTTGATTAGCAACCAATATTGGGCCTCACCACTTCGATGGCATAAGATAGAGTCTTTTAATTTCATCGAAAGCAAGCGAGGCAGTCCTCAAGTTCGCTGGGTCAATGTCGTGCGGTATCTACGCTTTCAGGTCATTGACAATCGACTACAAGGTAAGCCTGCTACAATACGCGAAGCTGGACTAGCTAGATGTGTAACTGACTATTGATCAGAGTTTATCATGTGCAGAACACTTGTCCGTACAGACTGGACGGGAAACAATCGTCGTTTCCCAGAAGAACAGTTCGGTCTCTACCAAGCAACAGCTACCTTTGCTACACAGCTATGCGAACTCGACGCTATGTATCGCCCTTTCAAAAACACGTCGGACTGGATGAAGGCTTTCAGCCTACAGTTCTGCCATGCCAATCTGCTGTTGTATGCTCGATTTCTATTGGTATACGAAACCGCCTTCGGGAGGCAGCGGGGATTGTTGGACCCCACCCGTGCAGAGCTCCAAGAGGGCAACGTTGGAAAAGTCACTGCAGACCATCAATTGATTCAGAAATTTTCAGAAATTGGAGATCGAATGCTAGTGGCCATTGAATCACTAGTTGAAATCCTCCAGAGCGCCACAAGAAGTCAAGTTGGATCGTCCACGCCAATATCGAGAACGTCCAATATCCCGATAGCAATGTCAGAGACTCCTCAATTAGCGGCCATAGAACTCGAGATCCGCTTGTATTGCAAACAGTTAAGAGGTAGCCTAACGAGACTCTCTACCGCAATGGAGCATGACCTCAGGTTACTAGAAGTAAGGAGAGAGGTAAAGCAAACCGATAGTGTCCAGCAGCTAAGTATACTTGCCACAATTTTTCTACCTCTTTCTATATCTTCAGGGGTTCTAAGTATGCAGACACGATTCAAAGACCTAGGTGCGCTTCTATATGATTTTTTTGGTGTTGTGACTCTTCTTGGAGCCCTTGCGCTTTGCTTCATCTTGCTCTTAGACTTTGTAAATTTTGTGACCGGGCCTTATCTGGTCCAGTTCGATATGGAGATGAACAGGAATGCGATGTATAAGGAGGAAGTAGCCAAGCGAAAGCAGCAGCTCTCCACATACGTACACTTTCGGATACTTGCGTCTATTCTTTGGTGGCTGGGTCTGGGTCTATTCTGCATTATTCTTGTCGTTTCCTTTCTCATTGGCATGTTTAGAGATATTAGCCTCGGTGCTAAGGTGCTTGGATACGGGCTAGCTGTCGTCTCCTTCCCTGCTGTGATTGCCTTGAGCCTTACTTTTCTTCTATCCTTGATGGGCGAATTGGTACGACGACGGCGAAAGGCAAGGAAAGCGGCACAAGAATCACCTCGAGTCGAAAGGCGTCAGCAAGGTATGGGAGCAGACGAGGAAAATGCCTCCCCAGTCAACCCGCCTGAACCTACGACTAGGATGGCGGAGCTAGCAAGCGCTGCCGCCAACCACGCAGGATCAGAGGACGAGGTGGCCAACGAGTAGAAAGATGTGAAGTATGCGATAGGATACAGGGCTTATACTAAATTATTATCCCCCCGACGGAGCAATCCGCCGGGGCCGTACTGTGTATTACGTATTGGGGGAAACTAGGTATATTGCGCTCTATACCTAATTACTAACTAAACTTCCCGACCTTTTACTACGTAAAGTCCTCCTAAGTTCTAGCTATCTATAGGGCGAGCTTTACTTATTTTAATATATATAAGACTTCCTAATACTAGCTTATATAAGTAACTAAGTTTAATATAATCTATTCTTTTTTATAAGTATTATTATTACTTAGGGGGGCTTATAAAAGCTATTTAAAATACTAATTTATTATTTTAACTTTATATATTTTTAATTTACTTATTATAATTATTATAATTAAGCTAATATTAATATATTAAATTTTAATATTTATATTAGCCTAGTTCCTCCCGACAGAGCAATCCGCCGGGGCCGTACTATATATTACGTATTAAGAAAAACTAAGTATATTACGCTCTATACTTAATTACTAATTAAAATAGTAATTAACTAACTTAACCGTTATTTTCTTTTTATTAATAGCTCCTAACCTTCCCCCGCTTATCTAGAGGGCGAGCTATACTTATTTTAATATATATAAGACCTCTTAGTACTAGCCTATATAAATAGCTAGATCTTATATTATATATTCTTTTTTATTAAAAGTTAGGGAGCCCCTTATATATTCCCTTATATTTATAATATAGCCCGTATTAAAGGGATTTCTAACTTTATAAAATATAATTTTTAAACTAATATTAATATACTAAATCTTAACGTTTATATTAACCCGGCTATTTATAATATTTATATTATTACTTAGCTAAATTCCGTATTATTAAAAAGTACTTTACTAATCCTCGGGTATACTTATATTAATTATAATAACTATAGTATTAAGCTAGCTAAAGAGGGCGCTTAGCTTAAGAGGGGTATACTTATTAATAAGTATTTTTAAAATTTTAACTTACTAATTACTAACTATATATTAAGAATAAAGTAGTAGTTTATATATTAATAAGTTTATTTAGTAAATTTATTTAGTAAATTTATTTAATTTAAATAAAGAGTAGCTTTAGGTAATATTAGAAATAATAAAAATAAAATTTTTTTTTATAAGCTCTAAAGAGTAATAAATATTAACTTATTTAGCCTTTTTTTTTAAAAACCTTTACGTTGCTATTAAAATTTAGAACTTTTATAGTTAAGAAAGGCCGCCTCTAATTATTATAGCTAATTATTATAGCTAATTATTACGGCCAACTTCTACCGTTAACCTTTTTAACTAGTACTATTGCGTAAGTAAATTACTTAGCCTATTATTAATAAGTAGCTAAAGAGGGTAGCTTACTTATCCCGAATTATATAGCGGTTTTTATATCGAAATTACTATATTATATTAAGCGCGTACTTAAAGTATATTACGTATATTATATAATTAAAAAATATACCGTATTGTATAATTTCCCTTAAAAGCGTAATCCCGTTAAGGTCGATCTTTTATACCTATAAAGCTAGAAAAAAAACCACCACATATTAGCCTAGTTATTTATAATATTTAGAATATTACTTAGCTAAATTTTATTTTATTAAAAAGTACTTTATTATTTTTTAAATATATTTATATTAATTATAATATTAAAGTAATTAAAAAGGGCGCTTAGCCCGAGAGGGGTAAACTTACTAATAAGTATTTCTAAATTCTTATTAAAATAATAATTTATATATTAATAAGTTTATCTAACAAATTTATTTAATTTAAACAGAGAGTAGTTTTAAATAATATTTTAAAAACAAAATCTTTACGAGTTTCAATATAAAAATAATAAATATTAGTCTATTTAGCTCTTGTTAAAAAAGACTCTATATTATTATTAAAGTTTAGAATTTTGATAATTAAAAAAGGCCGCTTCTAACTATTATAGCTAACTATTATAGCTAATTATTACGGCCGACTTTAATTATTAATATTTTTAATTAGTATTATTATATAAGTATTAAAAACGTATAGGGTATAAGGGACTCTTATAGTACGGTACTTCAAAAAAACTACTAATACCTATAAAATAATATAAAACACCTCTTCTAATTAGCTTAATACGGTCTTAATTAACGAAGTTATTATTAAAAAATTAAAAATAGTATTAGCTAAATTAAAAAAGTAAACTTCTTAATTATGTTATATAATGGTTTTTTTTCTAGCTTTATAAGTATAAAAAATCGACCTTAACGGGATTACGCTTTTAAAAAGAAATTATATAATATAATATACTTTTTAACTATATAATACGCGCAATATATCCTAAGTATATACTTAATATAATATAGTAATTTTAATATAAAAACCGCTATTTAATTTAGGATAAATAAGCTATTTTATAGTAGTACTAGTTAAAAAGGTTAATAATAGAGGTTAGCCGTAATAATTAGTTATAATAATTAGCTATAATAGTCGGCCGTAATAATTAAAAGCGGCCCTTAATTATAAAGGTTCTAAACTTTAATAGCGACGTAGAGGTTTCTAAAAAAAGGGCTAAATAGGCTAATATTTACTACTTTTTAAAGCTTATAAAAATTCTTTTTATCCTTATTATTTTTAATATTACTTAAAGCTCTATTTAAACTAAATAAATTTACTAAATAAATCTATTAAATAAACTTATTAATATATAAACTACTATTTTAATAAGAACCTCTTAGTATATAATTAGTAATTAATAAACTAAAAATGCTTATTAATAAGTCTACCCCTCTTAAGCTAGGCACCCTCTTTAACTAGCTTAACGCTATAACTATCGTAATTAATATAAGTATACTTAAAAATTAATAAAATACTTTTTAATAATACGGAATTTAGCTAGGTAATATTCTAAGTACTATAAATAGCTAGGCTAATACGAATACTAAGATCTAATATATTAATATTAGTTTAGTTATAATAATTATAATAAACGGGCTAGAGGTATATAGGGTTAAAATAATAAGCTAGCGCTTTAAATAGTTCCTATAGGACCCCCTAAGTAATAATAATACTTATATAAAAGAATAGATTATACTAGACTTTATTATTTATATAAGTTAATATTAAGAGGTTTTAGATATATTAAAATAAGTAAAGCTCGCCCTATAAGCGAGTAATAAAAAGTTAGAAGTTATTAATAAAAAGGAGATAATAGTTAAGTTAGTTAATTATTATTTTAGTTAGTAATTAGGTATAGAGCGTATTATACTTAGTTGTTTTTAATATATAATATATAGTACGGCCCCGGGGGATTGCTCCGTTAGGGGGCTTAATTATTTTATATTATTATATTTAAAAATAAATTATTAAAAAGGCTCTAGTTCGATTTTAAAAAAGTATATATTTAATTAATATAAAAATATATATTATTACGAAAGTAACTTTATTTACTTTATTACTCGCCTTATTATTAATATAATATAAGCAAACTATATACTATATTAATCCACGATTTCTATAAATTATTATAGGTACTAATTATATAAGCAATACTGCTTATATAAGCTTACGTAAGCAATAGAAAGTATTAGAAGGTAACTAAATAAGCTAGAATTTCCTCGAGATAGAATTACGTACTATAATTATGTATTTACTTACGTATGCGCTTATTTATTATATTATAATAAATAAGCAATAGAATATTCTAGTAAAAGGTTTTTATACTTATATAGGCGTATATTTACCTACCTAGACTTTTTGTTAAGTAAGTAACTTCTTATATAATAATTTAACTATATTACTCTCTTTACTATAAAAACCTCTTTTATATACGCTTATTTTCTTTATATTTATATATTCTTGTTTCTATATGAATATTCACTTTCTATATTCTTTTATAAGAATATCCCGTATTACCTCGTTAAAGCTATACGTGCTAGATATATTAATAAGTTTTTTATTTCTAATTAGGGCCCTTCTCTTTATATTTTATTTTCATTAGCCCTCTTATAAATTCCTATACTTAATTAGTTTTAAAAAAGAACTATTAAGACTAATTACCCTACCCTATTCTAGTATATTACTTAGCTTATTATTAATAAGTAGCTTTATTTATCCTAAGTTAAATAGTAGTTTTCGTATTAAAATTATTATATTACGTTAAGCACGTACTTAAGATATATTACGTATATTATATAGTTAAAAAGTGTACTGTATTATATAATTTTTTTTTAAAAGCGTAATCCCGTTAAGGTCGATCTTTTATGCCTATAAAGCTGGAAAAAAACCACTACATACTAAATTGTCATTTATGTTCATAGGTAATGATGATTCTTGTGGTATTAGGAGTGCTAGACAACGATCGGCCCGACGGTGATGGCGACATCCGCACCATGGGCTCGGTCTGCTGCCCCGGTATGTGCATGTATGCTGCCTAGGGGAAGGTCGTTATCCATCGAATCTGATGGTGACTTATAGCTATCCTGGTCACCATACAATACAGTCTACGATCTAGCGCTAGTGTAAAGCAAAAGGATACACGTTTCGTCCGCTCGTTTGGACCTGCAACCCCATATGATCGTGGACTTATAATCTAGCCAACACAGTTTACACATCACGCTATAAGATAGAGGCGATGCAAGGTTGAGATGAGGTGCAAAAAAAAACTTTTCAACATTCAACTCGTGAAGTTTGATATATGTACATTCTCTTGACAAGGTCGAGGTAAACTAACCCACCTCCGTGACGGTCGATTTTTGGTGTGAATGCCCGAAATGAAGCCCCCAGACTACGGAAAATGCTGCGATGAAGCACTTTTTAGATTTTGTTTGATTTTTTGAACTTGTTTTGTTCCGGACGAAACCTGCGATACGGTCGCCCGTAGTAGGAAAAATCCCTGATCCCAATGGAAGGACTTTTCTGCTCAAGATGGAGATCTCATTATGGCCAAAGAGAACCCAACAAAGCCTGGTGGTATAAGATGAGAGAGCAATATGCATGGACGCCTCCAATG